AAAATCTCACTCCGTTTTTGGTTTTATTGCTTGTTGTTTTGTCTGGTTCAATAATACTGCTTATCCGAGTGAGTTTTACGGGCCGACTGGACCCGAAGCTTCTCAAGCTCAAGCATTTACGTTTCTAGTTAGAGACCGAGTTTTACGGGCCGACTGGACCCGAAGCTTCTCAAGCTCAAGCATTTACGTTTCTAGTTAGAGACCAACGTTTACGGGCCGACTGGACCCGAAGCTTCTCAAGCTCAAGCATTTACGTTTCTAGTTAGAGACCAACGTCTTCGGGCCGACTGGACCCGAAGCTTCTCAAGCTCAAGCATTTACGTTTCTAGTTAGAGACCAACGTCTTAGAGCTAACGTTGGATCCGCTCAAGGACCTACTGGTTTAGGTAAATATCTAATGCATTCTCCGACTGGAGAAGTCATTTTTGGGGGAGAGACTATGCGTTTTTGGGATCTGCGTGCTCCTTGGTTAGAACCATTACTAGTTCACTATCAAAACGACACGATATTTTAATTAGATCCTTAACACACCACCATCAAAAAAAAAATTAGATTTGATTTGATTTAATTTAATGCATCAAATAATAATATCTTTATGCACAAAATTTAAAGGTTCACAAGATTAAAAAAAAAAAAACAATTATTTATAGCTTTTCAAATTATTGTATTTAAAATAATTAATATCATATAATATTTATATGTGGTGATTTGTTACAAAGTCATTCATATCAACGGCCAAAATTCCACTTATCCAACGGTGTGAATCGTGCAAATCGAATATATTATATCGTCACATTCCCCAGTCAACTAAAAGTCTAAAAACTTTATTTATTATTTTTTAAAATTTGATGAAATGTTGTCGTGATCAAATCCCTAATTAATTTTTAATTTTTAATTTTAAAAAACATTTTTTTATAGGCAAAAACTCCAAGAAGTTGTGGGCAAATAGATTCCTGCGGGATTTTAGCCTATTTTATCGTAGATTATATTCTGGTTTCTATTGGTCGTCGTTTTATTCCATGAACTCTTACATTTTTTCCTAATATTTTTCTTTTCTTAATTTACTCAAATTATTGACTATCAAAATAACAATAATAAATACTTTATCTATCAAGCGATTTCGAATCCGCTCACGAATTTAAATTATGCCCAAATTATGATTTTATTTGAAATTAATGTTTTGTATAATCATCGCCATTAACAACTTAAACTATCTTAATTAGTTTAATTATAACCTAAAATGATAAAAAAAATAACAAATTGCAAAAGATTTGATATTTGAATCGAAATAATTAATATCAAAACTATATAATATATGATATTAAATACGATCACGTAGAACATGTTTGCATTTTTGGAGGTATGGGTTGGCACTGGGGAACATTCAAGTTGATTTTTTAAAATAATAATAATAATAATGCCAAAACAAGCTACATAATCCAAATTATTAATTTCAATATCTAAGTTTCATAAATTAATGATTAGTTCAGATCCCTCCTGTGACTATATTATTCAATTACATTATCTTTAAAATTTTCTTTATTATATCTAAATTTTATTTTATGCCAATTATAATTAATATTTTTTTTATTACGAAGAAAAAAAAAATCAATGAAACTTTCGAGTCTCAAGAAATGTCAGATCTATTCATTGCATTAATAACCCGAGTTAAGAGATAAATTCTTTGCGTAAAGATATCCTTAAGAACTTGACATGAAATCGAGTTCAAAGAATCTTTTGTTTATATATATAATTTATACTTTTGTGGATTTATTAATGAATATATATATATATATAGAATTATTTTGTTTAGATTTTGGAATCTAAAAAATGGGATGGGATGTGCTTGAAATTAGATTATAATTAAATTAATATGCTGAAGTCAACACCAATCTTTGTTTGGATGTGTGTCGTACATGGCCCCATCAAATGCCAATCTCAACTACATTTTCATATCCAAAATATAAAGTTTAATACTTCCCATCGCACCTTAGTTGTATACAACAATTTCCTGGGTGACGTGAAGCTTTTAAACCTTATCTATTTGACCCCCAAACCTACTAGAAATAAAGTCTCATATCGGATAATTTAGAGAATGATCATGGGTTTATAAGTGAGGAATACTAACTCCGTTGGTATGAGGCATTTTGGGAAGCCCAAAGCAAAGCCATGAGAGCTTATGCTCAAAGTGGACAATATCATACCATTGTGGAGAGTCATGTTCGTCTAACAATTCATACTCTTGAATACATTGTTCATAATTTAGTCTAAAAAAAGTGTATACTTTTAACCAATCAAGTTATCGAAATCGGACCCAAAATAGACCAAGGTTGTAAGACCAGCCTAAAGGAGATCAATAGGTGCTCGAAATGCATTAGGCTCAAAACTCCATTTGACCAGGCAAGATAGACCCCACCTACACTAGCCGAACCAAATCGAATCTAGTTCGATTAAATACGGTACGCACCTTCCTGAAATTCGAGACTCAAAGTATATGCTTGATTTATTTGTATAATTTTTATTATCGATATAAACTACATTAATATTAACCACCAATATGGATATTAATATTAATAGTAAGATGAAAGTGAATATATATATATATATATAATAAAAATAATAATAAAAAAATCTAAGCATGAAAAGGAAAACAAAAAAAGTATCTATATTGGGCCATCCTGAATACCCACATAGAGTGGCTAACATAATGGGCCAAGAAACCCATTGAGTAAATGGGCCGTATGCTTAGGCCTTTTAGTTACGGTATTCATTGGCCCAACAAGTTGAGGGATTTAAAAGGAGTTTGGTAAAATTACTCTGTATTTTTTTAACGTACCCGACCATATTTATTTTTTAAAATATAGCTGATTAATTGCCCCAAATCTCGAACTATTTTTCCAAATTATATTTTATTTATTTAATTTAATATCTCTCTTTTATTTTTATATAATTAAAAAGAATTTAATGGTAAAATTTGACTTAAAATTTAATTATAAATTAATTAGAGTTTCATTTTATTTATTTATTTTGGTGGGTAGACAAAATTATGGTTCAAACGTTTTGTATAATGGAAAATCCAGTCGGTGAGGGAACAGAAAACCTGAATATTCAATTCATTTAATTTTGTCAATAAAAAGAAATTTAAAAAATTAAATGTTAGGTTCAAAATTTGGGCGGTTTATTTCTGAGGAAGGGCGGTTGGACCATTGAAATGTTGTCTGTTTTGGGCCGAACCAATCCCGCACTAATGGGCCCATTTGAAGAATTTAATTTTCGTATTCAAATTAATATTATTATGTATTAAAAAAAATCCGGCTGGCTGTATTTTTGGAATTTGAAAACGTGCAATTTTCTCATATGACGTAATTGACCAAAATGACCTTAATTTTTTAATTTTGATAGAATTTATTATATTAATAATAAGACCATATTTTCAAGACCAAAAAAGTCAATTAATAATCTAAAATACAATAAGATAAATATTAATATTACTTGAATTTTTTTTTTTATCTATATTTTAGTAATAAATTAATTTTAAAATTGATACCAACTCTCAATGATCACAATAACCATGTGATTCCAAGTTGGTTGGAGAGGAAAACGAAGCATCATAATCCTAATAGATGTATTTTAAAATCCTAAGGGAATACCCAGAACACAAAAAACCTAAAGAAAACAATATATTAATGGTGAGTTTTGGCTGATAAATGGTGCCAGTAAGAACGTTAGGCCTTCAAGGGAGATGGATTGTGAGATCTCACATTTGTTGGAGATGGGAACGAAACCTTTCTTATATGGATGTGGAAACCTCTCCGTGTTAGATGTGGTTTTAAATTCAAGGAAGTCCATAAAGAAAAACTCAAATATAACAATATCTGCTAGTAGTTGGTTTAGATTTAGAGAAACAAACGTGATATAATCAATCTTGTTAACATTAGAATAGATAGAAACGAACCTTATGATAATAAAAAAATATTTATTGTTCTTTCAAATGGAAAAAGAGAGCTAAGATTAGGGATAAGAAAGGGTTCATATAGTCCACTAAGAATATATGGGTCAGTTTAATTTAAGAAGGAGATGTTTGGGCAGCCCCACACGCAAGACACAATTAATTAATTTCTAGTGATTAATTATACCTTAATTTGACATTGGAACTACCTTTTAGTTTGGGCACACCAAATTTTTATCCCCATTTATTTAAATTTTTATTTCTAATTTAATTCACGTTATATCTTAATCTTCTAAACCGACTAATAATGAGTTTGAGCTTTTTTTACGACGTGAGATATTTAAATAAAATAAATATCTAGTCACTTTCTTAAAGTACTTTTTATTTTAACACTTTTTTTAAATTTCGGGTTTGTGACAAAAAAAAAAAAAAAATGATATAGCCAAACTAGCTATATTTGTACATTGCCCCTATAAAATCATATATCACTGCAATTTATATATTAAATTTGAAAATACATTATTTTAAAATATTTATACATACTAAAAATGTATTATAATGAAATATTTTTTAAATAAATGACAAAATTTAAAAGTTATTTATTTTTTTTTTTTTACTATTTAGCTCAAAAAATAAACTATTTTTGTTAGAGAAATATATTAATCTAAGTATTATCATTGTCAGCTTTATTGTCTCCAATCTAAATGAAGAGAGAGAGAGAGAGAGAGAACAGAGACAACTGGTGAAGCGCGTGAGCCACTCTGTGTATATCGTACGGATTTTAAAAAATATATTTTAAAATTTTTATTATATTCTAGCGCTTCTTCTTCTTCACTTCACTTAAACCTAATCCAATTATTTCCCCTTAATTATATGCATTAATCATAATCTTCTTTGCATTTTTTGTCCTTATTATTAAATATTTTGATATTCGAATAAAAAAATTTAAAAAGATATCTAATATAAAAAAGAAATTGATATAAACTAAGAGAACAAAAAAAACTTCATTATAATTTATGGAAGAAAAAAAAAAGACAAATTTTGTACGGTATGTTTGAGAGAATTCTAGCTAAAATCTCTAGAAATTAAAATTGTCAGCTACATTCTTCCAATCTCTTCGAATAATTTTTCGAGTAAAATTTTGGTGTGTATTAATAACCGAAAATAGCTACTCGAAAGAGAGATTTGGGTATCCATAATACTAAATACTTCGATGACATGTTAGATTCGATTCAATATAATTCGATTCAGCTCGGGTTTATAGGAGCATGGAAGTAAGGGACTGAAAGACCTGTTCCTCGCAAGGGATAGTAAGGCCCATATGGTGACTAAACCCGAACTCCTCCTCAGCCAATTGGAGAAGAATTTGAAACTCAGGCGACGTCAAAACCGTGAGCGGCACGATGTAGCGGCTCCTATTCTCACTCACATACACCACAAAATGCCCCTTCGGCACATCCACCGGGATCTCCCCCGTACCGCCGCCGCCAACGCCGCCGCATTGCAGCTGATTGTTCTTGTTCTTATTGCTCCTCAAACCTGAGCAACGCTTCATAATTTGCTTCACCACCGCCATGGATAAATGAAATGGAATGAGTGAAGGGTTTGGGGAAATGGGGTTCGATATTTATGGGGGAGAAGACTCGGAGGTAACAAAATCATGTGGGGTTGTGGAGGAGGAAGCAAAGGACAGGCCATATGTGTACGATGGTGGGACCCACTTTTACCTTTAAAAATTTTAATTATTTATTTTATATTATCATAGCTTCCAACACGTATTCCTTTTCATTCTTTTATTATTTTATTATTAATGTTACAACCGTATATTCATTATTTTAATCATATAGATTCCAATTTTGTAAAAATTTTATATAAATTATTCCATACATTATTATTAAAATGGTTTGTGATTATAATATATGATCGAATTGGTTAAAATTGTGTATTATGTGATTATATGTTGTCTAAAATTTATGCTTATTTATTAAGTTTAGCTATTATTAATTAAAATTCAAAAGTAAAAAAATTATTTTTTTTTTAAAGAAAATTTGTTATCATTTCAATATTTTTTGTTTTAATAAATGAATAATTGGGCGTCTAAAATGTTTCAATTTCAATTATTTATAAAATACTCCAAAACTTTACTAAATTCTACATTTCGTCCCTACAAAATAAATGTTAGGCCTAATTTATTGAAAAAAAACATGTGATGTAATTATATTCATCGATCTACATGTGTCATATGTCTCGTATTCATATAAGGACTAATTGTAAAATTCAATAAAATTTTGAGGATGAAATGCAAAATTCAAAACATTAATAGGGTCAAAAACAAAAATTAAATCAAAGTTAAGGACCAATGTGAAATAACTCCCAAAAAAATCTTTAATTATTTGGGTCCCAACTATCCTTTTTTAAATTTTATTTTTCATGAGAATTAATTATTATTCTTATTTAATTATTAGCTTATAGGTCCATTTTGTTTTTATTTTATTTTTCATTAAAAAAAATAGAGAGGATGTTGTAATTAGAAATAATAAAGAGATTTTGAATAAGCTTTGATTAATGGATAGTAACATTAATGGAAATTTTAAAATGTAAAGTCATTCATTATATTTAATTATATATATATATATATATATATATTTTAATATAATTTACTATTTTAGGGCTTTGCAAAATATATATATATATATATATATATATATATATATATATATATATATATATAAGACACACGAAAATGACTGTTCCTTTCTCATGCCTACAAACCAAAACATTATCCTCAACGATGTCTTTAATGAATCCTTCCATTATCTTTGCTTCGGGGGTGTTTTTTACATTCATGAATCAAATATTCAAATTAATTAATGTAAATTCGAAACTATAAGAAATGTTAATTCTTTTGATGTAAACGATGTTGACAAATGCTTATGTTTTTGGAAGTCAACCAAGTTGTTTCCACTTTATGTTACAAGTGTGATCGTATTTAACTTATAAATGTATATAGACTATGTTCTTTGATATCATTAATATCATCAAAGTGATAATATGAACACAATATTGATATGTTTTTGTTTTTAATTAAAAAAAATTGCTAATAATTTCCTTCGTTGGGTAATTATCTACCCTAACAAAAGTTTACATTCATGTTGACTTTTAAGTTAAAGTCAAATGCTCGACGGTAAAAAGAGCAACGAAAGCAGATTATTGAGCCAAAAGATTGTTTTTGTGTAGTTTTTTTAGGGTTTAGGGTAGGAGATTATATTGAGTTGAAATAGACTAAAACCAAGTCGAGCATTTTATTTGGAATCAAAGGAGTCGATTTGGTACGTAGATGTCATCATACGTAAGTTGAATTGAGCTGGCTTAGTGGGATATTGGAATGTTTCAATCGAGTAGATGTGTCTAAGGGCTGACACGTAATGTCATTCATAATAGTAGCTTCCTAACCGTATGAACATGTAGACGGATGGGACTTATCATAATAAATTCATTTCAATCTACGTCAATATGAACACAATATAATTTTTATTATATTTATAATGTCAAATATTATTAGTATTGAAGTAATAAATATAGATATATAAGAAAATTTGTTTATAGTGTGACATTGACATGAAAATACATCATCTTAGGTTATAATAATAAAGGAGTAGGGTTTTTTTTTTTTTTTTTTTTTTTATGATTATTTCAAAATTTAATTTTAAT